AAAAAAAACAAAACAAAACAAAAACAAAAAAACGGCATGGTACTGTTACAATGACAGACACATAGACCAAATGAATTCATTGCACAAAATTCTGTAATCCAGTCCAGTCTCATTTCTGTCAGCAGGTCATATTCTCAAGTTCCTAGTTCTTTGTTTTCAACTCTTGCTTTCTAGTCACAAATTATTATGAACGCATCTTGATTTCATGTTGTTCATCTTTGGCTTTAGTTGTAGATGTGTAGAGGTGAGTAATAGTTGTAGTAATAGGCCTTCCTTGTGTGGATGGATAGTCACCTGTTACAGCACTGCACTTAGGATAGGTCTCGAAGTGGCCTTTATAACTATGAATGCACCATCATTCTTCCTCAGTTTTTAATTCCTGGCATAATAGACCATATGATTGTCTGATTCAGAGTGGCCAAAGCCAGTCCATCTTAGCTTGCTAATGCCTAGAATGTTGATCTTTATGTGTATTACCTTCGCCATTCAAGTTATTAATGAATATTTTCAGTTATTTCTCCTTAAATTTTTAACATCTTCCCATCTGAGATGTCCTGTTTCCAGTGCAATGTTGAATAGCATTAGTACTCTTTTATTCATAGAATTTTCAAAGCCTGTAAATTCAAGTGGGTGGTCAATCCAGTGTCCTCAGTGTGGGACGCCCTGCGCTCCAGAAGTGTGAGTGTGGTTGCTGGACAACAGTGAGTTTGCATTCTCATCTACACCTGTCTCCCACTGCCACAGGCCTATTCTTGTAGCCTGGTGGTGTGCGTTTTGTTGTGATGATGGGAGTTATGCTGCCGCTATTTCCTGTACCAGCAGGGATCACCTGTGGTGGATGAGGGGCTTGAGAGGCTCTTGGAGAGAGAGAGTGGTTCCAGACACTAGGATCTCAGGCCTGATACCCTTACGGAAGGTTTGCTGCATTTACCTCTCAGGACCTCACTGAACTCTGTATGGAAGAGTGAAGTTGCACATGCTCAAGCCATGGCATTTTCAGCCACCTAATATGCGTGTGAAACTGGACAATGAATAAGGAACACCAACATATTGACACCTTTGGATTATGTTGGCAGAGAATTTTTAATATGTCTCATGCAGTCAAAAGAATGGACAAGTCTGTCCTAGACAAAGTGCAGCAGAAACTCCTTGACATGAGCACGGGGAAACTTCCATGTTATGCTCTTTGGGCCTGTTGTCAAGAGTGGTCAGTTTCTGGAGAAGGACATCATGCTTGGAAAGTAGAGTGTCAGTGGAAAAGGAGATATCCTTGGTGGGGTGGACTCACACAGTGGGTGCCAGCATGGACTGCAGTGCCGCAGGGATGGTGCAGATGGCGCAGGGCCGAGTGCAGTGTTCTGCTGCTGACCTGGGGTCATTCCTGACATTATGTCCAGAATCTTCCTCTTCACATGGCTGCTTTTCACAGCGATCAGCCTTACTTCTGAGGTGCATCTTGGTAGTTTGAGCCACCAACCCTCTGGTTAGTAGTGCACTGCCTTCTCATATGCCTGGGTCTAGTGGAGGCTTGACAAGAAGTTAGAAGTTCTGATTTTTGTGGTTGTGAAGTATTGTCCCCACTCTTGTCATGATACAGAGGACATTGGTCTGAAATGGGGGCCTCTGGGAGTTCCCCTTTTGGGTTCTGACTCCATCTCTACATCAGTGGTCCAGTTACTGGGCCTATAGACACTGTCATTGGCTCAGCTGAGATGCAGATGCATATTCCAGCCATCTCCTGGGGCTGGCTGTTCACAAATGGCCTGTTGTGCTGCAGAAAGTACTGTGACCCAGAAGAGCCAGGAGCTCGCTGATTACCATTTTCCCCCTCTGTGAGAGGGACCACAGGGGAGGTCCTGGCAGAGTGGGAAACAGTGAAGCATGGAACCCCCAGTCACAGAAATGACCAGGCTGACTGCTGGGACTCCAGACTGTAGTCCTAGACATCCCCCTAACCTGGAACTGAACCCACCTCGTGACACAGCTTTCAGCCAAACGACAGACAGACCTGTGGGCTGACCAGCACTCCCAAGAAGGTCCACTCTTGAAACAGCCAACCACATGGGGTCAGAAGGGCAGGATTTGCTCAAGGATAAAGCTCTGAAGGCAAGAAGGCATAGACAGGAAGGACAAGTGGAAATGGATATATAGAGAGTGGGAAGAGTGTTGTTACACTGTGGGGACTGCAGTCAGGACGACTGTGCAGTTAAATGGAGGACTGATAGGCTCTGTATAAGCTTTCTCCCAGTCATAACTAAAGATAAAATGACATAACTATGATGAGTGTAATTACCTTTGAAAGTACACATTACAGGGAGCTCTGGTGGCCTAGTGGCAAGAAGCTGCACTGCAATCCCAGAGGAACATGGTTCAAATCCACCAGATGCTCTGCTGGAGAAGGAGGGACAATCTCCTCCAATACCAGTCAGATCCGATTTGACGGTACACACACAAAATAATTTTAAAAAATTAAAAAGTAAAAATTTTTTAAAAAGTACACATTATGAAAATAAAGAATCTTAGAATGGTAGGAATAAAAGATGTATCACTAATGAAGAAACTGTTTTACATGGTTGTTAGAACATGCGTATGTGTGAAAACTTTCCATATTTTTAGGAGTCCTTAAATACATTACTCAAACAGCTCGAAAAGGAGAAACGAAGCCTTGAAAATCAAGTGAAAGACTGCACCCTCCGATTGGAGCAGGAATCCAAGGTTTGTCCTCGTCAGATGAGGCCCTTCAAATCTCCATTGTTTTTATTGTCCATCAGCAAACCCCTCTGATCTGTTAACCATCCCATAATGTGTATAAAGCTGTCTACAGGCCCGTTTACACAGAACAGTACATCTGTGGCTGCTCCATCTCCTTCCCACACCTTTCTGGTCTCTCTCTGTATCCCAGGCTTACCTCAAGACCAACAGTGAGCGACGCACGTGTCTGGCCCAGATGTCCCAGGTACTGTTTTTTAGGGTTTTGTCCTCACTTCCAGGTTTTTATAGTATCTTTCCACTGTACGCTCTATTTTCACTTTTCTAGGATTTTTAACTTGGTTTGGTAGAGAAACAGACACTGAAATTATAGGAGTAAAGTGCACCAAGTTTCAGAAAACTCAGTGGAAAGGAAGATATTTAACAAAGAGTTTTAAAAAAATAGAATGAAAACATTCTCCAAGTTATATCATAGAATTCTGTGTGTTGGCCTGCAAACTGAAACATCAGTGGTTCAGATCCACAAGCAGCCACAAAGATGAACAGAATTAAGTGTGTGTGTGTGTGTTATAACCAAGAAATTGAAGGCATTTCACTTGACACTTAGGAAGGTGAGCAGCGATCATCACAGCATTGGTGGCATCAGAGCTGGTTCCATGTTAGTGACGTCCATGTGAAGGATACACACGAAGTTAATGACATCAGGTTTTGCCTGTAAATGTGCCCAATCTGGGTCACCCACTGACTGCAGAGCTCTCTGTGGCATTATATAATAGACTGGATGTGTGGGTTCACGGGATGTTTGTATATGTAGGAAGGAAGATGAAAACAAAATGGAGCAAAGTTTTCATTAATGCTGCACCTGGCACACTCCAAGGGTCTGCCTTTAATGAGAGGATGGTGCCAAGTTTAGACAAGGCCCTGATCCTCAGCTGCTCCTAGAGCCCTGATGGGAAGCATCAGGTGAACCCTCTGCCCCCTTCTCAGTGGGGTTATTCTCTTCCCCCAACTAGCTCCACAGCCCTGTCCACATCCTCCCCCTATACCACCTCCTCGACCTTTATCTTCCTTCAACAATCGTCTCTACAGAGGGCCCCTCCCAATATGTTGTCCAGATCCTCCCCAACCACCTTCCCTTTCTCCCCCACCCATCCACCCCCTCCCTTCCCCATCCACCCCCTGCTTACCCACCCTCTCCCCCTCTCTCCACCCACTCCCTCCTCATTGAACCCTCCCCATCAATCCTCACCCACCCTTTCCCCCCCCATCCCTCCCCATCCTCCACCTCCCCATACACCCTCTCCTCATACACTCACTCTAATCCTCATCCACCTCCTCCCCATCCACCCTTCCCCATAGCTCCTCCCATCCTACTCCTCCTCATCCCTCTTTCCCCCAGGCAGGCCTCCCCATCCATTTCCCCTCATCTCCCCATCCATCTCCTCCCCATCTCACTTCCCCTTGTCTATTTCCTCTTGTCATTCCTTCCTTCAGCCCAGCCTCTGTACTCATTCCCCCACACAGCTCTTCTGGGGTCCTCCTCAGTGGTGACCACTTAGCAAGGCTTTTATTTCTTCTCACTAGTGCTTTGTAACAGTCATACCACCTGCAAATCTCATTGCCAAGTCAGAACCAACTCCCACCTGGTCCTTCAGTAGGTTTTCAGAGGCTGTAAATCACACGGGAGAATAGTGCTTTCTCCCCATGGAGCAGCTGGTGCATTTGAATCACCTGTCAGATTAGCAGCACAGCTCCTAGGGAGCAACAAAGCTGCCTAAGGGGCCACATTGCCAGAGCACCTGTCACCTGCATGTCCTCAGCAGGTGTCCTGGAGGGATTTGGAAGCAGCACACCTGTTGTCTCCTGTCTTAATTGTCCGGTAAGTGCCAGTGGCTCCTGTGTCCTGCTGTCCTTGTGGAAGGCTGCACCTACTTCTTTTCTAGTGTATCATTAGTGTCATAGATGATGCATTTTATGCCTCCACTGGTTCTCACAATGACACCACCAGGGTTTGGAGACTTAAGTCACAACGGGGAGACGCATCTTCTGACACACTGCCCTACACCACTGTTGTTGTTATGCGCTGTCAAGTCGCCTGCGACTCATAGAAATTCTGTACAACAGTTCTGAAGCCCGCACTGTCCTGAGCCAGTCTCACTGATTCCTGCACACCTACCATCCTTGCCCTAGTTACTGTATCAGTCCATCTCATCTGAGGTCTTCCTTGCCTCTGCTGACCCTCCACCCTTCTGAGCATGGTTTCCTCCAAGGATCAGTCTCTTCTGGTGACATGCTCAAAATATGCGAAACAGAGCTTCAGAATCCTAGCCTCCAAGGAGAAACTTGATTTCACCCTCTTCAAAACAGACTTGTTTGCTCTCTAGGCTGTCCATGGTATGTTCAAGACTTTTCTCCACTAGAGTTCCTTTATTCACATGTGTATGTGTGTGTTCTGCATATATACATATGTGTGTGCACATACAGGCTTACACACAGCTCTGTACAGATGTGTGTGAGGTGTGTGTGTGTGCACACGTACACAGGTCAGTGTTTAGGAACTCTACTGCTCCTGCGTTCTAATCCCCATAGCCCACTCCGCTCTGTACAGATATCAGGGAGGGGCACGTGTGTTTGTCCTTGTGTTTCCATGTTAGTGTTTAAAGATCTCCACTACCCCCAGTGTTGTAGCCCCCACAGCCCCCTATGCTCTGTACACATATCTGTACAGATACCAGTTGTATGTGGGAGTATGCACATGGCAGTGTTTAAGATCTCCACTGCTCCCCACATTAAAGCCCCTACAGCTTCACTCTGCTATGCACACAGGGGCCATGAGTTCAGTTCAGCCCAACTAAGAACAATAACACTTTTTTCTCTTTTAAACAAAATTATGTAAAATGTAGCACTTTTAATCAGCTTTTTCTTGCTATCTCATGCACATTTACAGAGCACATTGGTCTTCCGTGAAAACATGAATACACTGCTGGTCACTCCTCTCTGTAACATCACTCTTCCACCAGCTCCCTGTGTCTCCTCTTGCCATCCATCCTCCATCCTGTTCCTTATGCCTCTGAGATTTATCATTGAGCAGAATCTTCTGTCTGCTCTCATGTAGTGCAGGTGTAGGTGGAGTGGAGTGGAGTGCAGGTGTAGGGTAATGTAAGTGTAGGTGTAGTGTAATTGCTTGTTCTTAGGAGCATCCTTCCCTGCTGGACTCCCATTTGGCTGAAGGTTGAGGGCTGGACTGCCTGGGTGGTGCCCCTGTCACAGTCTCATAGGCTCTGCCCAGTTCTGTCACCAGAACACCTGGAGGATTCTATGGTCAGATGATGTGTGTCCCCTAGGCCATGTGTTTTCAGTGTCCTTTCTGTTAATGTCTGGAAAGGCAGGATTTGTGAACTGAGATTGAGACACTGACGTGGGCTGGGATTCCCAGTGTCCCCATTGCTCTCAGACATGACATGGAGGGAACTGGCGAGGATGCATTCATCATGAAATGATCATCCTTGCACATGAAGTTCTCATGTGTAAGTGCCCCATGTGGTGTATTCCAGGTCACCAGCTCCCAGCACATTTCTAAGTGGCAGCATGTGGACCACCTGCCCAGAATGAAAGAGAATCTCATGAAAACGTAAGTCCATGAGCTTTCCCTTCTGGAAGATTCTGTGCAGGCAGACACACCAAACTGTGCTGCCTTCTCTGGGACTTGGAACCACAGCGTCCAGTCTGCAGTGAAGGGCTGTTTGGTGAAAAATGTCAGCTGGCATCTCATTGATTCCTGGGGCTATAATTTTGCCATTGCTTGAGTGAAGGTTGAACGTCTTCCTTCATCACCATTGGTCCCTGAGTATATGCTATATCCTGAAATGAGTCTGTGTCTGCCAGTTCTTTTTTGATACTGTAGACTCAGATCATTTCTTCCATCATCTTCCTTTTCTTTTTTAAAAAATTTTATATTAGTTTTCAAGATCAAGACTCAAGGTCAAATTTTGGTTCCTGTGGACCTGACTTAATTTTCTGCAGCTTCAGCTTGAACTTACATATGAGTAATTGATGGTCTGTCCTACAATCAGCACCTGGCTGAGTTTTCACTCAGAAGCTGATACTGAGCTTCTTCAGTGATCCTTTCCACAAAGGTAATATATCTGATTCCTATGCATACCATCAGGTGAAATACATTTGTATAGCCTGCAATTATGTTTCTTATAAAATGTATTTGCAATGAATAAGTCATTGTGCAAAATTCTATCATTCTATCTCTGGCTTAATTTCTGTCACCAAGTCCATGTTTTTCAACTGCTGATCCTTCTCTCTTCCCAACATTTGCATTCTAGTCACCCATTATTGTTAATGCATCTTGATTGCATATTTGATCAATCTCTGACTGCAAAAGTTGGTATAAATCTTCTATTTCCTCCTCCTTGGCTCTGGTCGTTGCTGCATATATTTGAATGATGATGGTATTCACAGGACTTACTTGTATGTGTATGGATGTTATCCTTTCATTCACAACATAGTATTTCAAGATGGATCTAGAAATGACTTGTTTAACTATGAAAGCAACCTCATTTTCACCGAACTTTTCATCTTCAGCATAGTAGATCAAATGATCCTCTGACTCAAAATATCCCATGCCAGTCCATCTCGTTTTGCCAGTACCTAGTATGTCAGTATTTATGCATTCCATTTCCTTCTTAACAATATCCAATTTTCCTACATTTATGGTTTTTACATTCCGTGATCCAATCACTAGTGTCTGCTTAAAACTGTTCCTTCTCTTATTTGTTTCCATATTTGGGGGCTCAGATTCAGTTTCCATATCTGCTGATCTAAGTGTGCTCTCTTGTACATTGGGGTTTCAAAGGCCTGCTATTTCAGAAGTGGATGGCCAGTCCTTCTTCCTAGTCTGTCTTAATTTGATTGCTCAGATTTAGAATGTTATCTGACAGACAAGCCTTTTACAGAGAAGAGCAGATTAAAGGTATTTCCCAGTAGTAGGACAAAACCCAATATATCCGGATGAGCTGTGGGAGGATATCAAGAATATCATCCAGGAAGAATGCAAAAGGTCATTACAAAGACAGAGGAGGAAGAAAAGACCAAGAGGATGCCAGAAGAAACTTTAAATATGGCACTGGAGTGCCAAGAAGCCAAAGCAAATGGAAGAAATCAAGATAATAAGGAGTTGAACAGAAGATTCCAGAGGGCAGCACGGAAAGACAAAGTAAAGGATTACAATAAAATGTGCAAGGAGCTGGAGTCAGAAAATAAAAAGGGCCAAACTCACTCAGCATTACTTACACTGAAGGAACTGAAGAACAAATTCAGACATCAAGTTGCAGTTCTTAAGGATGCTTTGGGCAGAATATTAAATGATACAGGAAGCATTAAAAGAAGATGGAAAGAGTATACAGAGTCATTGTACCAAAAGGAGTTGGTGTACCCAGAAGGATTTCATGAAACAGCATATGAGCAAGAGCCGGTGGTGATGAAGGAAGAAGTTCAGACTTCTCTGAAAGAATTGGCAAAAAACGACGTCCCAGGCATTGATGGCATACTGATTGACATTATTTCAACAAACAGATGCTCCCCCGGAAACAGGAGGACAACCGCTGTCCTATTGACTGGAAGAGATCTATATTTGTTCCCATTCCAAAGAAAGGTGCTCCAACAGAGTATAGAAATTATCAAACAGTATCATTGATATCACATGCAAGCAAGATTCTGCTGAAGATTATCAAAAAACAACTGGAACAGCACATCAGGCTGGATTTAGAAGAGGCCATGACACTAGGGATATTATAGCTAATGTCAGATGGATTTTGGCTGAGAGCAGAGAATACCAGAGGAATGTCTATGTTTCATTGATTATGCAAAGGCATTTGACTGTGTGGATCACAACAACCTGTGGCTGACTCTGAGAAGAATGGGAATCCCAGAACACTTGATTGTGCTTATGCAAAACCTATACTTGGACCAGGAGGCGGTTATCAGAACAGAGCAAGGAAACACTGCATGGTTCAAACTTGGGAAGGCTGTGCATCAAGGATGTGTCCTATCTCCATATCTTTTCAATTTATATGCGGAACAGATAATCCATGAGGCAGGTTTCTGTGAGGAGAAGTGTGGCATCAATATTGGAGGTAGACTCATCAATAATCTGCATCATGCAGATGACAGAACCCTGCTTGCTGAAACTGAGGAGAACCTGACATGTTTGCTGCAAAAGGTCAAGGAAGGACTGCAGCCTTCAATATGTGTCACTGTCTGTTAGCTGGCAACTTAACAGCAACACCCTGATGGGAGTAAGCATGACAGAGATACACTACTCCATGAAAGGATCAGAGAGTCAATCCAGCTCAATTTTATTGGGGACTTCAGTACACTTATATACAAGCATATAAATGGGAAGACAGGTTAGGGTGGACTTACAGATATGGGCCATGTGGATTGGTTAGGAGAACCTCAGCCTCATGTGGACCACTCCCAGCTCAATAGATGCGGCAGCCAACTTCCCAGGTGGAGAGCTTTCTCAAACCGGTATAGCCAAACACAGGGAAGCATTCTCTACTCCATATTAAAGGCCGCTGGGAGGCTTGCACTTATCTGGAGCTTAGGCGATCTGTCCTGGCCAGAGGCCCTCCCTTCCTCCCCAACATACCCAGCAAATATGGGTTGAAGCTCAACATCAAGGAAACAAAGATCCTCACCATTGGGCTGATTGGCAGCATCATGATAGATGACGAAGAGATTGAGATTGTTGACACCTTCAGTTTGCTTGGCTCTACAGTCAACACTCTTGGTACCAGCAGCCAGGAAATTAAAAGACAAATAGCATTGGGAAAGTCTGCTGTCAGGGACCACTCCAAAGTGAAGAACAACAATGTCAGTCTGGAGACTGTGTGCCTGACACAGGCCATGGTCTTTGCAATTACTTGCTATGCATCAGAGAGCTGGACATGACTGAGAATGGATTCCCTTTGAGCTTTGGTACTGGAGAAAAGTATTGAATATTCCATAGACTGTCAGGAGAACAAACAAGTTCGACCTGGAGAGGGTGAAGCCAGGCTGCTCTTTGGAGGCAAGGATTCTAAAGCTCCATCTGACATTCTTTGGACATGTTGCAAGGCGTGATCAGTCCTTGGAGAGGGACATCAGGCTTAGCAGAGTGGAGGGACAGCACAGGAGAGGAAGACCCTCAATGAGATGGATTGATTCGGTCACTGGGGTAATGGGGTTAGACATGTTGTACATAGGGTCGCTATGAGTCACAGGCAACTCGACGGCACATGAAAACATAATTTGCTTACAAGTTTATATACATTGTGTTTCACACTATTCTTCAGTCAGGTTGTGTTTCATAAAGTCATTGCAATGCATTGCTGCTGTTGTTATATTCTGTCAAGTTGCCTGCGACTCATAGCGACCCTGTGCACAACAGCTCTGAGCCCTGCTCTAACTTGAGCAAACCTTATTGTCTCTGAGACACCTACCCCCATTACCCCAGTCATTCACTGAGTCCATCTCATCAAGGATCTTCCTCTCTTGAGCTATCCTTCCACCCTCCCAAGCATGATGTCTCTCTCCAAAGACTGGTCCTTCCTGGCTACATGCCCAAAATAGCTTACACAGAGCTTCGGAATCCTTGTGTCCAAGGAGCACCCTGGTTCCACCCTCTCCAGGACAAAGTTGTTTGTTTTCCCAGTAGTCTTCGGTATATTCAGTACTCTTCTCCTCCAGTACCACAGCTCAAAGGCATCAATTCTCCGATCATCTCTAATCATTGTTCAGCTTTCTGATGCATAGCATCTAACTATGAAGACCATGGCCTGGATCAGGTGCACCTTATTCTCCAGGCTGACATCTTTGTTCTTTAGTACTCTGGAGATGTCTCTGACAGCAGACTTTCTCAGTGCAATTCGTCTTTTCATTTCCTGGCTGCTGGTACCAAGAGTGTTGCTTGTGGAGCCAAGCAAACTAAAGTTAACAATTTTTTTTACCATCTATCATGATGGTCTCAATTGGCCCAGTGATGAGAATCTGTTTTCTTGATACTGAGTTTTATTTAGTTCATATTGAAGGCTGCAGTCCTTGACTCTCTGTCGCAAATGCCTCAGGTCCTCCTCAGTTTCAACAAGTGTCATCTTCACAATGCAAGTTCCTTAGGAGTCTTCCTCAAATCTGGATGCCACACTCCTTCTCATAGAGCCCAGCTTCCCAGATGATCTGTTCCACATATGGATTGAAAAGATATGGAAATAGGACACATCCCTGGTGTACAACCTTTCCTGTTTTTGAACGATGCAATATTTTCTTGCTGTGTTCTGACAACTGCCTCCTGGTCAAAGTATAGGCTTTATTTACATAAGCACAATAAAGTGTTCTGGGATTCCAGTTCTCAGAGTCAGCCACAGTTTGTTGTGACCACATAGTCAAATGCCTTTGTATAGTCATTGAAACACAGACAGCCCTCTGCTGTTCTCTGCAAGACCCATCTAACATTAGCTAATAATACCCCCAGTACCACCAGCCTCTTCTAAACTCAGCCTGCACATCTGGCAGTTCTCTGTTGATGTGCTGTTCCAGGCATTTTTGGATAATCCTGCTTCATGTGATAATAATATTGTTCAATTAT